TCTTTCACCCAGACTGGAGTGCAGTGGCCGCTCCCGGCCACCGCAGCCTCGACCTGCTGGGCTCTGGCGATCCTTCCACCTCAGTCCTTCCAAGTAGCTGGAACTACAGGCACGCGCTACCATGCCTCCCAAAGTGCTAGCATTACGGACGTGAGCCACTGTGCCTGGCTACAGCTTATTGTTTACTTCTGTGAAAGACTTCCTACTTTAAACAAAGTAAGTAAATCTAAGGATAAAAACTATGACCATAAGTAAATTAAAAATAATACTTGATTGTACAGCATATGAATTACATCTCAGTAAAGCTATTTTTTTTTTAAGCCCAAAATCTGTTCAGAAAGGTTATATTTCTAAAGCTTTTATTCATTGATATATTAAACCTCAAACTGTTAACTACCTTCCTACTGGGACAAAAACAGAATTCTTTTTTTTTTTTGAGTTGTTGTCTCACTGGGTCGCCCAGACTGGAGTGCAGTGGCCGCTCCCGGCCACCGCAGCCTCACCTGCTGGGCTCCGGCGATCCTTCTGCCTCAGCCTTCCGAGTAGCCGGAATTACAGGCATGCGCTACCACGCCCAGCTGATTTTTTTATTTACTGTAGAGATGAGGTCTCGCTGCCCAGGCGGGTCTCGAACCCGCGGGCTCAGGCAATCCACTTACCTCAGCCTCCCAAAGGCGTGGGATTACAGGCTGAGCCACCGAGCCTGGCTAAAACAGAATTCTTAAAAATGAGGAGGAGAACAAATTTCAGATCGGTGACTCTCAACTACACTTCCTAGATACTAACACCATGGAGAGGGGAGAAATTGTGTAAGCCCCACTTCCTGCATCTGACTTTGTGATTCACAGGATAAAATGATGTTGTTGACAGGAGTGCATAAAGGTGTGAATCGTGGTAGAAGCAGAAAAAAGGTTGACAGACTCTACTTTACCCAATATTCTGGATTGTGGATTAGCAGCATCATATATATTATTCCCTCAGTAATATGTGAAGAGAAACAAAAATCTAGATTGGTGAATCTGAGAAATACATTTTAAATAATTAAATAACAAGAAATTTCCATAAATACCCATATGCTCAGTAACTAAATCTCATGATTTAAATTGATTTAAAACTTGTGAAACACAAACCTTTATGGCAGAACTAGAAGTCTGTTCCCACCAGGCCCTCATACCTGACAGCAGCCAATCCGGCTCCTTCGAAATTCTAAAGAATTAACTACGTCAAGAGTCATCATTTTTATGCATTTCATCGTTTTTTTTTTAATGCTATAGATTTTTTAGAAAACTCACACAAGCATTAATTAATGTGCCTTTCCCTGGACATCTAGTCTTCTGGCTAGAAAAACACTGAGTAACTTGATAATATACACCAAATTTCTCTTTGACAGTTTTATCATCAAAGATATTAATATGCTAAGTGAAAATGTGACTCTAATGATTTACACGGATTTCCCTACAATAATTATTCTGTAATTTAAGCTCTCTTATCTATAATGGTAAGGTACAAAGATATAAAGAACTCTTTTACCAGTAAGACATTAGAATCTTAGAATAAACTATGTTGGTTACTAAAAGTAAGTTTATGTGGAAAATAAAGCATACAAATGACGGTTTTTGGTCGTAGAAACTTTCTGCGTTTGACTATAAAAACACTGTCAAGGCTACCTCCTTATTCTCTTTACCATCTTTATAATGTCAATAATTTCAAGATAATAAGAATTAATTACTTCATAATACTTTGATTAAGTTTCTTATTTTCATGATTGCTCATCTCTAGCTTTCAATCTAATTTATCTGGAGAGATAAACGTTTCATTTGTGATCCAAATTTAATAACTTTTAATTTTTATATATAAAAATTTCTGAAATTGAGTTTGTATTATTAAAAGGAAAAGCTATTCTTTTTCCAAACTTAGCCAATATTTTTTCAGTTTTTAAAAGGGAACTAGATCTACTGTCAACAAATGTCAAAAAGCACAGAAGAAACAGACTTTTAGTTCTACACAAATTCAACATGTCTTTAAAAACAAATTTCAAAAAGATACAAAAGAAATCAGTTAGTCAATGTATACCTGTGGATTTAAAGTGAAATATTTCATGAAAATATTTTATCTTTGTCATATTTTATTATCTGATACAATTTTTAAAATAGATTTAAAGCTTAAAATTCCAGAAAAAATAATCAGAGCCATTTTAGAACCCAGTAAATATAAAGTGAATCAGGTCATCCTGTCAATTTGAGTACTAAAAAATTCACCAATTCACAATTAAATCCACAGAAACTGTTAGAAAATGTCTGGCAACACATGAACAGTGAGCAGGGCTGATAAGCTTCTTTAGCATATTTAAAGTTTTTCTGCCTTCAGCCAAGAAGGCTTTATAATGCACTATACAGCTTGGGAAAGATTGGTACTCAAGGCTCATGGTACATAGATTAACGCAAATGAGAAAAATATCTGAAGTTATACGCTAGTACCAATATCCTCATTTAAATCACAACCTTAGCTTCACTGTTCTTTTTGAAACTAAAAAATTTACTGAAAACAATGCTCTGATTAACTTTAAATACAATTGTTAAAAGTGAGGGGTATCATATCAAGTAATAAACCTCTAACTAGAAGGGCAGATAAAACTTACATATATGTTTTTTTCCTTTTTTAAAAGCAAACCATACTTAGGAGTCTATAAACCCAACTAAAAAAAGAATTACAGTTGGGCAAACTAATATTATAGAAAGCATTCAAACTAATATATCACTAATCAAGACTTTTTTCTACTAGGTTGTCTGTCAATCTTTTATTCTAATTCAAAATAAAAGCTTGAATCAATTTTATATCATTATAAAGTGTATGATTTGAGAGCTGAGTAAAAATAAATCTGGTAAAATTCAAACATTACTTTCTATATTTTTTCAGATACAAGAAAACGTCTTTATATAAATAGTACATTCAGATCTTCCATTACTTTCAATGAATTTAAAACAAGTATAAAATCACATATATTCTTAAATGTAGGAAAAGGTTTTAGTAGCATGTTACAGACATAAGAGACTTGAGTGCTTCAGTCCTTTTTCAAATCATAGAAGATAAAATATTTTTCCCTCTGAGCAAGTCTTTTAAAAATAATTGTTAAATAGAAATACAAATATAATTTTCTAACCACAGCTTGCTATTTAACCTTTTTATGTGTAGTCAACAAGATAATTTTAAACTGGTTCCTGTATCTGAAGGTCCAATTTAGAAGACAGCACTTTATACATGTGCCAATGTTAAATTCTAAGAAATAACAATTACATCAAGAAAATTATATTGAAAAATTTTAATAGTAAAAGTATAAATTTTAAAACTTAAAAAAAAAAAAACCCTCAAACCACACTCTTTTTAATATGAACGTTGCCAGCACTGTTCATGTTGGCCAGATTTCATGTTGGCCCTAGTTTTCTTTAATAAAATAAAATGAAATGCATACCAGCAGCAACTACAGCTGGAGGAGGCGAGCCTGCCTCACCACCACTTGTCTGACTCATTGATGCTACAGATGTTTCTCTAGATGGAGGTAACTGTAACTCCTTTGGGAGAAGATCATAGACAGATTCTGTGGGAGGAAAACGAGGAAAAAAACGTTTTTTTAGAGTTAGTCAACAAGTCAATTATATGTGCAAAAAATGCATGTCTTTTTTCTCACAAGAACTATACTATTCACAAAAATGAATCGCATTTAATTAACATTATAAATAATTATTAGCAGACATTTTTTCTTTTGTTGTATAATTTCATTGAACCAAAGAATAAATTTTCAATTAGTTCTAAACATGTCTTCTTCTTGGCTTTATTTCTTATATTCAAGATAGTCTCAAGAAAAAGTTATTAAAATTTAAAACTGAATAAAACTAGATAGGTAAGCCGGGCTCAGTGGCTCAGCCTGTAATCCCACACCTTTGGGAGGCTGAGGTGAGTGGATTGCCTGAGCCTGCGGGTTTGAGACCCGCCTGGGCAGCGAGACCTCCTCTCTACAATAAACAAAAAATCAGCCGGGCATGGTAGCGCATGCCTGTAATTCTGGCTACTTGGAAGGCTGAGGCGGAAGGATCGCCGGAGCCCAGCAGGTCGAGGCTGCGGTGGCCAGGAGCGGCCACTGCACTCCAGTCTGGGCAACAGAGTGAGACTCCAACTCAAAGAAAAAAAAAAAACTAGATAGGTAGAAGAAATGCTAAATAACTCAAGATGGTCCAATATCTTCCTCTGAATAGTATGAGTGTAACTTACTATCCTTTATATATGAGACAGCATATACTAGTATATATTAGCTTTACTTTTATTTTTAGTTGGAGTCTCACTCTGTTGCCCAGGCTGGAGTCCAGAACACTGCAGCCTCTGCTTCCTGGTCTCAGACATACCTTCTGACTCAAGCTCCCAAATAGATGAGACTACAGGCGCACACCACCACACTCAGCTAATTTTTTTTTAAATAGAGACAAGGTCTCGCTATGTTGCCTAGGCTGTTCTTGAACTCCTGAGCTCAAGCAATCCTCTCACCTTGGCATCCCAATTACAGGCATGAGCCACTGTGCCTGGCCATATACCAGTTTTAAATTGGCTTCTCCACTTAGTCCATTAATATAGTCTTCTTCTTTTCTCCAACATCCTTTAACAAATATTTTAATTAAACATGATCATAATTCATTTTTCCCTCCTAAAGAGGGAAGCTAAAGCTAAACAAGGAATGCCATGGCTTAAGGAAATATTTCTTATTCTTTGAGGCATCTTCAACCCTGAAAAGGCACAGGTATAGGATACTCTTAAATCAGAAAGCATAAATACAATAGCTATATTAGGTTATGATTACTTTTGTATCCCAAATTTCAGAATTACATATCTTTATAAAGCATTTTATAATAACTTTAATGCCCATAAATTAGATTTATATCTTCTACTTAAAAATCTTTTATAGTTATTATTACATGATTTTTTTTAAACAGGAATAATTCCAGTTGGGCTTGGTGGCTCAGCCTGTAATCCCGCGCTTTGGGAGGGTGAGGTGAGTGAATTGCCTGAGCCTGCGGGTTCGAGAGCCATCCAGGCAACTTGGCGAGACCTCATCTCTACAATAAATCAAAAATTAGCTGGGCGTGATAGCGCGCACCTATAGTTCCAGCCACTTGGAAGGCTGAGGTGGAAGGATCACTGGAGCCCAGCAGGGCGAGGCTGGGTGGCCGGGAGCGTGCCACTGCACTCCAGTCTGGGCGACAGAGTGAGACTCCAACTAAAAACAAACAAACAAACAAACAAAAAAACCAGGAATAATTCCCACAATATATTCTAAAGGTAGTAAAATGCTGGAAGGAACTTCAAAAGACCAATTAGAAGCAAATGGCTATTTTCAAAGAATTGAGGCACAAAGTTTAAGGGACTTACTTGCCTGTGAGTATTCCAACAAACCCAACATTCCAACAATTAAAGGAGATTATTAATTATCTGCATGAGTGATTTGAAAAACAAAGGTAGCACTCTAATACATTTTATACTTGGTAATAAACAATACTTTTAGTTAACTGCTTACTAAGTTCATACTTTGATCTTCCTAGTTAATCACTAGACTATGTATCCTTACTTTGATGTGGATAGGGAAAAGGAAGAAGGTCATGAAAGAAAGCTAAAATTAGAAGCTGTACTGTTAAATGATCTTCATTCATAGTAAAGAATAAACTTAAAAGTTTCTTTTGAAAAATGCAGTTACCTAATACTTGAAATGTTCATCTTCAAAGCATTGGCAAATTCGGCGTTCGTCTGAATATAATATGCCCTGACTGAAAATTTTCAGCTTGTTGAAATGTTGCTAAAAGCCTTAAATAAATTACTTCTATCTTTCAAACAATATAGGGGGAGTGAAGTAAGGAAAAATCTAATTAAAACAGAAATGCCATTATCACCAAATATTCATTGTAATACAATTAGCTTTCTCAATCCATGTTGGAAACAAGAGTTCCTTACATATAAAAGAAAAACACACTAAAGTCCATTTTTAAAAAAATCTAAACAAAAAAGGAAATTTGAAAATGAAGGACAGCCAGGCTCGGTGGCTCAGCCTGTAATCCCGCGCCTTTGGGAGGCTGAGGTGAGTGGATTGCCTGAACCTGCGGATTCGAGACCCGCCTGGGCAACCTGGCAAGACCTCATCTCTATAATAAATAAAAAATTAGCCGGGTGTGGTAGCGTGCACCTGTAGTTCCAGCTACTTGGAAGGCTGAGGCAGAAGGATCGCCGGAGCCCAGCAGGTCGAGGCTGCGTGGCCGGGAGTGGCCACTGCACTCCAGTCTGGGTGACAGAGTGAGACTCCAACTCAAAAAAAACAAAGAACAAAAAACAAACAAAAAAAAGAAAATGAAGGACAGCTTGGATAAAAAGAGGAAAAGATCTACCCCAATGCATTTATGATTTGTGTCATGGAAAAAAAATGTATCCTAGCAAACAGTCTAATCACTAACAGCATTTCATCAATCTTCTATTATTAAAATAAATCAATCAAAATCAAATAAATCAAACAAGGCCTTGTGGATTGAAACACTCTACTTTTCCCAAAGAAAGGTATAAAAAAGTTGAGTCTCTATTAGAGATATAAAAGCAATGTTACCAAAAAGTGCATTGAAAAACGAAGGGCCAGCTTCTGTGGCTCAGCCTGTAGTAATTCCAGCACTTTGGGAGGCCAAGACGAGTGGATTGCTTGAGCCGGCGGGTTCGAGACCAGCCTGGGCAACTTGGCAAGACCTCGTATCTACAATAAATCAAAAATTAGCCGGGCGTGGTAGCACGCACCTGTAATTCCCGCTATTTGGAAGGCTGAGGCAGAAGGATCGCCAGAGCCAGTGGGTAGATGCTGGGGTGGCAGTGAGTGTGCTACTGCACTTCAGCCTAGGCGATGGAGTGAGACTCCAACTCAAAACAAACAAACAAACAAAAGAAAAACGAACAGAACTTGTTATATTCCAGTGCTCTCCAAAGTCTTCTCTCCCAGACAAAAAAGTAAAATGTAAGGTCAAGTGGAAGGTATAGGAAGCATGGATTCCTTCATCAAAGTTGTTTTCTTTCTTCTTCTTCTTCTTTTTTTTTTTTAAGTTGTTTTCTGACTCATATGTTTGGAAATCAAAGAAGTTAGTCCTGCCAAAAGTTTTATCATATCTATCCAAGTGAAAGAGCAGTTAATACAGTCGTTACCAGCACAGGCTTTTATTTCAGACAGAACTGGGTTGGCTTGCTACTTTAAATATCCTATTTAAGACTTAAATCCTCATTTCAACCCCTCTTTTACCCCAATAACTCAAAGATACTCCCTCCAAGTGGACAATGATCATGGACACTGGCCTTTCTCTTAAATCAGCTTTCCCTCAGATACCTAAAGATTAAAAATGTATAAATTATGCTATTAATGCTATTGCCATTCAGTCCTAAATTCAATCTAAATTAAATGCTTTTAAAGTTTCCACCAGCCAATGAAAGAACTCCTGAACAAGAACACAGAACCCACCTACTTCATGTTACACCACACTATTTTTCTTATGTTATCTTTTAAATTAGTTCAGATACATAAAGGAGAAATGAAATTCTAGGTTTACAAACACAGAATATGAAGAAAGAGAATGGAAAATCCATAATGGAAAGGCAGATTATGAAGAAAGAAACTTCTCAGAAAATCACTTCTATATGAGAGAGAAAGAGAGAGACAGAGAGCAACAGAGAGACAAACAGACCAAAAATAAGACAAGGTTTCTTTCTGTGGTGACAAAAATGTTCTGAAATTAGAGTATAGTGATGATAACATAATTCTGCATATATACTAACAACTGAATTATACCCTTTAAATGGGTGAACTTTAAGGTACCTAAATTATATATCCAAGCTTTTCGCCGGGTGCAATGGCTCAAACCTGTAATCCCAGCACTTTGGGAGGCATAGGCGAAAGAACGGCCTGAGCTGGGTTCAAAAACCAGTCGGGGCAACTCAGGGAGATCTTGTCTCTACAATAAATCAAAAAATTAGTTGGGTGTAGTGACTCATGTCTATAGTTCCAGCTACTTGGAAGGCTGAGGTGAAAGGATCACCTGAGCCCAGCAGTTCGAGGCTGTGGTAGCCATGAACATGCCATTGCACTCCAGCCTGGGCGACAGAGTGAGACTCCGACTCAAAAACCAATATATATATTTTTTTTTAAAAAGGAAGAGAGAAAGAGAAGCAGATCAAGCACAAATTAGAAGTACACAAGAGCATGCAGGGTATCTAACAATGCTTGAATACACTTCATGGACAAAAATAACTCTTCACATAGCTTCTATTGTGAAACGCAAAATTATGAAGAAGACCAAATTGCAAACTAATTTGTCTTTTAAGGCTCTTCTACGGGAGGAACAGAAAAGTGCTGCAGGCATAGTTATCTTAAATTCAGTAAAATATGTGGTGAAATCTTAAGAAGTTCTTGTGAATAAGATGAAGAAATGAAGAGTTAATAAAATAGATGACTTCTCAGCAAGAGAACCCAAAAATGTACAGATGCAACCTAGAGAGAGGTAGCTATTATATCAACAACTTGAACAAAGATATTGA